GTCTGCAGAAGCTGGACGCGGCCAGCCAGCTCGCCCTGATCGACGACCTGCACCGCGACCTGCGGCTGGTCTCCGGCGAGGTCAAAGGTCAACACCTGCCCGGCTTCTGCCTGCCCAAAAAGGTGAGGGGCCTTGTGCGTTTCTGGGGTGGGGTATGTGCAGCGCGTGGGGAGCTCGTGCCGCTCTCACGCGTGTCCTCTGCTCCCGTGTGGCGCGCAGGGCGTGACGTGCATCCTGCCCGTGCTGCGCGAGGGCGTGCTCAACGGCGCCCCCGAGCAGAAGGAGGAGGCGGCGCGGGCCCTGGGCCTCGTGATCCGCCTGACCTCGGCCGACGCGCTGCGCCCCTCCGTGGTCAACATCACCGGCCCGCTCATCCGCATCCTGGGAGACCGCTTCAGCTGGAACGTCAAGACGGCCCTGCTGGAGACGCTGACCCTGCTGCTGGCCAAGGTCAGGCCCCGCGCAGGCCCGCCGTCTTGGGGGGGGGGCTCCCTCTTGGCGGCCTCGGCCTCCTGCCTCACCCTCTCTCCCCCGCGCTCCCCCAGGTGGGGATCGCCCTGAAGCCCTTCCTGCCCCAGCTGCAGACCACCTTCCTGAAGGCCCTGCAGGACTCGAGCCGCGCCGTGCGCCTGCGGGCCGCCGAGGCGCTGGGCCGCCTGGTCACCATCCACAGCAAGGTGGACCCCCTCTTCAGCGAGCAGCTCTCGGCCATCCGCAACGCAGACGACTCCGGGGTCAGGTGAGGGTCGCCGAAGGGCAGCGGGCGGGGCAGAGCCTCAGATTCCGGCTCGGTGTGACCCTGCGTCTCCTCCCTCCTCAGGGAGACCATGCTCCAGGCCCTGAGGTTTGTGATCCAGGGCGCGGGCGGGAAGGTGGACCCCACGATCAGGAAGAACATCACCACCACGCTGCTCAGCATGTTGGGACACGACGAGGTGAGAGCGCAGCGGCGGTGGCGGGGGGGTGGAGGGAGACGCTGTTCCTGAATCAGCACTCGCTAATTAATTCATTAAAGTCTGCTTCACTCCCAGGTTTCACCCGTCTTTAAGTCTTGATTTTGTAGGTTTTTCCGGGGGGGCTGGGAGGGGGGACAGGGAGAAAGATGGGGGCGTGAGGGCTACAGATTGACGTTGGCGCCTGCGTGTGTCTGCTGTGCAGGATGCGACGCGCATGTCCTCGGCAGGCTGCGTGGGA